ATGTGAAACCCTGGGCCTAGTTCTGGGAATATGGGGGTCAGTCAGATGCAGGTATTATACAACAAGTGCTCATGGTCCATGAGAGAGACAAGAAAGAAAAGAAGACAATGTTAGACTGTGTCATGTGTTGTAACTGAGACACAGGCAAAAATGGAATGGAGTCTAGAGGCTGGCTTGACAAGCTGGCAAAGGTAAGAATATAGGTCAATGGAAGACAACCTGCCTAATACATATGTGGCCCTAGGTTTGATCCTTGGCACTGTAAATAAAAGTAATATGATAACAAAGAGGGAAGTTAGGTGGTAGTATGGAAGGTAGTATGGAACTCAGATACAAAAAGCATGCTGGTAGAGAGGCTGGTTATGAAGCAGTAGGAGCATCCATGAGCTACTATAGGTCCACCTAGAGGCCCGTGAGCGTGTGGGCACCAAAGAAGAGGCAGGTTTGGGAATCATTACAAAAAGATCTCTTGTGCATGATGCAGTGGCTAAATGGTAGGAAGTGAGAAAAATGGAGGAGTCCAGGTGACACCTCGGATTCTTGCTTGAGTAACTGAGTGCACAGTGGCTCATTACCAAGAATGAGAGTCCTAGAGGAGAAGGTTTACAGAGGAATGATGAAAATCTATGCTCTCTGCCGGTGAGCTTGAAGGATCCACAGGACCTTCTGGTGTAAGGGTCGGACAGCATCTCCCAAATCCTTCTTAGCTTTGCCACCGTACCTACGATTCCCACTTTTCTCTGTTCTCAGATCTTCTGAGTTGACTCAGGATATGGAAATGGCCAAATAGACTTTGCTTCTGACTTGCATCTATAAGCCTGAGATTAACTCTGTTTTTTAAGTTATTTATTTATTTATTATTGTTATTTTATGTGTATGAGTGTATTGCCTGCATGTATGTGAGTGCACCCATGTTGTGCAATGCTGCAGAGGTCAGAAGAAGGCGTTGGATTCCCCTGGAACTGGAGTTAAAGATGGTTCATAGCCGCCAGGTGGGTGCTGGGAATCAAACCCGAGTCCTCTGCAAGAGCAGTCAGTGCTCTTAACCGCTGAGCCATCTCTCCAGCCCCAAACTTTGTTTTGTACTTCTGAAATCAGGAACTGGGAGGCTGAGCTCCACAGAGCGTTTGGCCTCAAGGGGAGTACTTATGATTCTCCACAGTTCTAGGAATCTTTGCTCTATCCAAAGAACATCTTGAAATTGTCATTTCCACTAAGCCTACTCTGCTTTCAGTCTGACTTCTGTCAGAGTTCAGGATGGCATGTGAGTGGGTCAAGAGGAGCAACATGGACTCAAAATACAGGGGACCTTGGTATCTTATAGTTCAAACTTCTTATTCTTCAGACAAGGAAACTAAGGTACAGGAAAGCAGCTACCTCATTTCCACAGAAGGAGATAATGGCACAGATAGGACTAGATGCTGGGTCTCTCAACTCAGAACCAGTGTTTTTGCCTTGACTAAATTCATTTTAGTTTGTGATTGAAAGATTTCCTGTCTCAAATGATAATCCATTCCAGATACCACAACTAAGTAGATGTTTACAGTAGTCTAAGTTGCTGGGGAAAATAAAATATCTGCATGCCCTTGCATGACTTTTACAAATGTTCTTTGCAAAATAGAAAATATGGAATTATCAGGTCTATCAAGAATTTGTTACAAGAATTATTATTATTATTATTATTTTGGTCATTTTGAGGTCTCCCTGTAGCCTCAACTGGCTTGGAGCTTACTATGTAGACTTGGAGCTTACTATGCAGACTTGAACTCACCTACCTCCTGCCTGCCTCTGCCTTCCCAGTGCTGGGATTAAAGGCGTGCACCACCGCGCCAGGCTGATTTGGTGTTTTCAAATAGATGAAGTGTTTCTTCTTTTTTTGTGTGTCTTTTTTGAGACAGGGTCTCCCTGTAGCCCCAGCTGTCCTGGAACTCACTATGTAGACCAGGCCGGCCTTGAACTCACAGAAATCTGCCTGCCTCTGCCTCCCGAGTGCTGGGATTAAAGGCATGTGCCACCACGCCCGGCTGTGTAATGATGATGATGATGATGATGATGATGATGATGACGGTGATTTTCATATGCTTAGTATTTTAGTCTACTGCACTCCTGACTTTAGGGAGTGATGTCAATAGCATCTTAAATGAATGTGTTTAAATGAACAAATTTGTTTCTGTTTCCTACCTTTTAAATAGGCCTTCCCACACTTCAGAACTAAAGGAAAGGCACTGGGCAGCTGATGGACAGAGTCTGGTAGAGAGGCCAAGCCTTCAGCCAGACTATAGCCAGTTGGATTGGGAGCAGGAGCTCTTATTATAAGCAAATTATTACCACCCAGATTGCTGCAGCCACTTCAACAGAACTCGGAGAGAGGCTCTGAATGGCTTTGGGCAGCAAAGGAGCTTTGTACAGTGGTAGCAAAGGACCTCAGAGAGGACTTGATGCAAGGACGGTAGGAAGAAAGGTCAGGAGCCCTCCCATCTCTGCGGGCTGCTGGGCAGGAGAGCTAGTGAATTCCATTGACGTGTGGGGTCTGCAAGTTCAGGAGTTACTGACTTTCAGAGCAACATATAAGTTAGTGGTGCTTCAGTGAAGACTAATTCATTTTTTAGCTGGGGACAGTGAGGCCCATGGAGGAGAAGGAACAGGCTCGAGGTCACAGAGCTGGAAAAGGGCAAAGCCAAAACTGGAATGGGGAATGTCTGGCTCTCCCCATCAAGTATTGGAGGCTGATTTGAATAGTGATTTTGTTTGGAGGAAGCGAGTTCCTGTTGGGTTCTGGAAGTATATCCATCATAGGGACAATCCATGTACAAGAAACATGTGTGAGGCCTTGGAGGAACTGTGGGGTGATGCAGGGACACTGTAAGCCTGAATGTCACATGAGGCCCTAAGGCTTCCACCTCATCCTGGCCTGCTGCCTCCTTTTCCCATATTCTGTATTTTCCACTGTTGACTATATATTGGCATGAGATGATTTGATGCACTGTGTTGGTTCTTTGAATCTAAATGGCCATTTGTTTCATTTACCATATATCAAGAAAAACATAACTAGTATCACAAAGCCTAGATGTGACTGTTAGGAGTGGCCTCATTGTTGGAAATCAAATTGATTTAAAGAAAAAGATTGAGTATACATGACATGGGATAAAGAATCAGCAAAAATCCTAAGGCTGCTTCCTATATCTGTGAAGTCTCACAAACACTGTGCTAGTGATCCACAGAAGGACCGTGGTAACAGGAGGTCGCAGGCAACCCACATGAATTGAGGTCAGCTGGACACTCCTCTTGTTCTCCAGTGCCTGAGAATCTCATTAAACCCCATGCCAAGGTTTCCTCTGCCAGTGGGGCCTAGTAAGAAGACTATGTATGCAAATTATAGGCAAATGCCAGCTTTGGGGCACAGTCTTGGCTCTTTTGCTTCTAAGAAGTCTCTGGCTGGTCCTTTATACCTCTTCTGCTCTGCTGTGTAGCAGGTGCAATGTGCAGGTGGCTTCTTGTAGGGAAGGTTCTTGCTAAGGGGAATTCCAGCAGAGGTAGCACAGTCAAGACTGAGTCCCAAATGAATTCTGATTTTACCTCCCCACATTTCCTGCCCCCAAATTCCTTCTCTGGTGCCCTTTCTATATGCTCCCCTCCCCATCCCCACCTTCTCAATGTCACACCTTTTAAATTTACTGAGGGCCCAAGAAGCTGGTACCATTGGTCACCTTCAAGAGCACTGTTGTAAACTGAGGAACAGGGGCAGGAAAATGTTTTGTTTTTGTAAAAGTTTTGAATTTTGCAACATGAAGGCATTATCTATTTAAAAAACCAATAAATAATAAACCAAAGTTTCTGTTCATTCTCTCAGAGAAATATCAGAAATAATCACATTTGCTCATCACTATGACACTTTTTTTGAAACAGGTTTTATCATGGTTTCAGCTGTCAGCTTGACACAAACCTAGAGTCACCTGGGAAAAGGAAACCTCAACTGCAGAAGTGTCCAGATAAGACTGGCCTGTGGCCACATCTGTGAGGCATCTTCTTTTATTGAATTTTTGTGTATTTCATACAGAGCATCTTAATCATCTTTATACCCTCGTTCCCCAGTGGCCCCCTCCCATACACCCCCCCACTGGAATTCATACATTCTATCATTTGTGTCAAGGCCTATCATATCAAGTTAGTGTCCCCAGATGTCCCTCAGTACAAATTTATCCACTGAGGTCTAGTCAGTCTCTCTAGAGTCCCTTCCTTTAAGAAGATCAGGTCTTTCTCACCCAGCAGTAATCAGCTGTCAATAATTCTTTGACTAAGATTGGGGCCTGCTGTCCATTTCCACAGTTCTGTGCTGGGTTTTTGTCTGCTTGAGTTTGCATGGGTCTTGTGCATGCTGACACCATTGCTGTAGGTTCATATGAAGAGGAGGCCTTCCAGGAGGCTGTAGGACTCTATTTGCATGTGATCTTGTACCTTCTCCCTGGCTCTTACGATCTTGCTCCCCCCACCTTCTGAAACGGTCCCTGAGTCCTGGGTGGGTGGATTTTAATACAGGAGTCCTGTCCAAGGACCCACATTCTGTAGACTCTTATTCTCTATGTTTTGTCAATTTTCTTAATTGTTAATTGACATAGGAGGGCCCAGCCCACTGTGGGCAGTGCCATCCCTGGGCAGGTGGGCCTGAACTATGTAAGGATAGTGCCCAGCAAGATAGGGAAGCAGGCCAGTTTAGCTGTGTTCCTCCATGGTGATCTCTAATTCAGCTCCTGCCTCTAGGTTCCTGTCTTGAGATCCTGCCTTGGCTTCCCTTGATGTGGACTGTAAACTGTAAGATAAAATAAACCATTTCCTCCTCAAGTTGCTTTTGGTCATAGTTTTATCACAACCACAGAGACGCAAACTAAAACAGGTTCTCATTATATAACCTAGGATGTTCTGGAAACCACCATCCTTCTGTCTCTACCTCTGCCACTTGAGTACTGGGATTGTAGGTGTGAGCCACCATGCCCAGCATGAGCCACCATGTTCAGCCCAGCGTTTTGTTGTTTCTGTGTATCATACTCATGCAAGGGCCATGCTAATTTTCTCAGTTTTGTTCCATTTTATTATATGTGCTGCCAGTGGGCACAAGTTTGAAATGCATTATTTCTTATGTTTGTACTGCAATATTATGATCCACGAGTCTTGTGGAACAAGCCCCATCTTACTGATGTGGACACCACTCCAGAGAGAAAGCAATTAGCCTGGTTTCACACAATGAAATCTGTAAAGAAATTTGGGGTAGAATTTGGGTGTCTTGATTCTGAATGCCTTGCTGCTACAATTGCCACATTAATATAAGCTCATAATTTCTGCTAAATTGTCCTCGGTTTGGCCTGAGGCCACATGTTCACATTTGCCTTTAAATAAACTTTTTGAAACTTGAACCTAAGCAAGTAGAAGACCAGTCCCATCTTAGCTTGTTAGGTGGCAACCTCCTGAAAGATATTCTGTTCTCTGGAAGCCACAGGCCACTCAGCCACATACTGTTCATTCTCCCAAACTTCGGCACTGGTCTCTCAACCTTGCAGAGATATGTACCTTTCAGGCTAGCTTCAAACTCAGTATGTAGTCAAGAATTACTCAATTTTTTATAGTGCTGGGTTTTGAACCCAGAGCTTCATACACTCTACCAACTGAGCTATGTCTCCAGCTCCCTGCAACAGACATTCTAATGAGACAACTTGGCAGCTGTGAGTGTATTGGGGGGGTCACTATTTCAAAGCCTGGGAAGTGGTTCTTTTAGCCTTTGCAGCTGGTATCTCTGAAATAGAGAAGTCTGTCATTCCCCTAGTATGAGCAGCACATAGACTTTGTACTACCAGATGTCCCTAGTGCAGAGCAGGAACTGTGCTCAGCAAGAAGTCCTGGAACGGTGATGGATTCGGGGGTGGGGGGTGGAGAAGCAGATGTGTGCTAGTCAAAGCAATGTTCCTGCTTCAAAATAAGTCTCTCTCATCTGCTGTCATAGTAATGCAAATAAACCCTTCACCCTGCTAGTTCTTCTTTTTATTAGCCACCACCCAAGAACTCAGCTTCCTAAAGTGGGAAAGTCCACTGTCCCCTCTGACTCCTGGTAAGACTATGCCCAAACCACCTCCAACTCTTTTGTGAGATCCTTGAGAGCAAGGCTCTTATTGTGCCTTCCAACACCTTCCCAAGGTGCCTCACTCAGGCCTTTAGCATAGCACTTAATTGGTTCTCTCTCTGTGATTCCCCAGCCCTCTCTGCCACCCAGGAGTGATGCTTGTTCAAGCTCCTCCAGATGAAAACCTGGAGTGAATGGAAATGGCTGAGGCCTTGATGACCTCAGCAAAGACTTGCCTAAGCTCTAAGTTCAGGCTCTGATGGCAAACCCTTTCCTGACTAGCATCCTACTTTCTCTTCCTCACCAAAGCAGTCATCCCTCTCTAGACAGCTGCATTCTTCTCCACACAAGGAAGCTGCTTGCAGATTTCCACTTGCTTACATCCAAGTGTGACACCAGAGAGCAGAAGGCAGATAGGTGGTCAGACTCAAGGAAACTTGCTAGACAGCAAATACAGGGGATCGTTTAAACTCAGGACTAGACGTGTCCCCTCAGTCTAACCAGCTCTGAGGCCTACCTCCTCTTGGAAGATATAGCAAGTTCTAGCATGTCACAGACATTGAACCCCAAATATCAAGCTTTCCCATCCCCTTCACTTACCTACGCCTGTTTCCTGACATCCATCCCATCCCTAGTGCACTTCCCAGTGGGAAGACAGCATTTGAGAACAAGGGAAGTACATGGGTGGCTGCCACTTGCTGATAGCCTGGAGGGAAATCCTCCCCTGGCTCAGGGACAAGAATCAGCCCTCCATCTGAAAAATAAAGAGGCTCTGCCTGTGAGCCAGAGCCAAAAAGCAGGGCATGAAGAGGCCAGGCCACAGCCAGCAGAGGGAGACAGAGAGGATGTCTCCAGCTTTGCCACTCAGCCACCGGCTCAGGAGGGTAATCAGCTCATCCATAAGATCACAGAGAAGTTTCATCCCATTGTAAGTCATTTGGGAGGCAAGCCTCATATACTTACCAGCATTCTTCCTCGCTGGCAGCAATGGGAAGCACTGCAAAGGAAACAGAAAAAGTCATGGCATCACAGAGATGCAACATCAAAACTGAAAGGGGGAGCTGGTGAGATGGCTCAGCGGGTAAAGGTGCTTGCCGCCAAGCCTGCCGACCTGAGTTCGATTCCAGCCTCTCACGGTGGAAGGAGAGAACTGACTCCTGCAAGTTGTCCTGTAGCCTCCACATGCACACTACATGTGTGTGCACACACACAAATAACAAATAAATAAATATTTAAAAGCTGAATGGGATCTTTAAAACCAGCAAGTTCAATGTATCCATTTTATGGAAGGATTAATTGAGGCCCACATGAGAGAAAGACGAAGTAAGAAGCCCACAATGTCAGAGTCTTGACTGCCTACTCCATACTACTTCTTCCTACTCCACTGGCAAATTCTTCTGATGCACTTCTCTCTTATAGAATGGAGACTGCCCCAAGTTAGGGACAGTCTGCACAGTTCTCAGTACTGTTTCAATGCCTGATAATAAAGATTAACAAAAAATTCAATCAGCATGTGCTTGACACATACTGTGCTTGAGATGGCACAGGCCAAGCTAGAAGCAAAGTTCACTGGTAGAAACAGCAATGTTTAGAAGAGGAAAGCTCAAGTTCAGGGTGGCCTTTCTTTATGTACTGATTATATATGACTGTCACTATCACTATCTGATGACTATCACTCATAATATATTGAGATTCAGTTTCTGCCTGCTTAAGACTAGGAGAGGGGTTGAAGAGATGGCTCAGCTGCTCTTGCAGAAGTTTGATTCCCAGCACCCACATGGTGGCTAACAACTGTCAGTAACTCCAGTTCCGGGGAAATTCATGCCCTCTTCTGACCTCTCTGGGCATTGCAGGGCATAGGTGCACTTATATACATGCAGGCAATACACTCACACACACACACACACACACACACACACACAAATAAAAATAATTAAAATATTTTAAAAAGACTAAGAGAGGGGCTAGAGAGATGGATCAGCAGTTAAGAACACATGTTGCTTTTGCAGAGGACCCGGGTTTGATTCCCAGCACACACATGGTGGCTAATAGTCATCTGTAACTCCAGTTCCAGGGGAATCCAACACCGTCTTCTGTCCTCCATGGGCATTTTCTGACACTTACACATAATGCAGGTAATACACTCATATACATTAAAAAAAAGACTAGGTGAATAAAACCTGTGACCGCCCAGGCTTGTGAGGAAAAGTATATAAAAACATTTATCAGAATCTTAAAATACTTTGTAAATTCATTCAGCAAATATTTATGGAGCACCAGTACCCTACAGAGCACTCTGCTACATGCTAAGAGTATAACAACCATCTAGACAGATCAGGTACTTATGGTGGGTACTGCCTAGTGGGAAGTGGCAATCAATAAACAAAGAAATAAAGACTTTTCAGGTGGCACATGCCTTTAATCCCAGCGCTCAGGAGGCAGAGGCAGCTGGATTTCTGTGAGTTTCAGGCCAGTCAGGGCTGCATAGTGAGACACTGTCTAAAACATGGATAGAGAATGGTAGCATAATATGACTAGGAAGATGGATACACAAAATCAACCAGTCAATGTGAAGACCTGATGCAGCATATCCCAGGAAGAAACAAAGGACAAAGAGGTAAGAGTTGAGATCTGCAGCATGTTGAAAGTCAGGGAAAGGGTCTTTGGCTTTGCTGGGCATCACAGTAGGCAGCCATTGGTGGGTGCAAGCACAATGATAAGATCGGACTTTCACCTTAAGAGGGTTATTCTGTGCTGCATGGAGAATAGATTGCAGCACTACAGTGAATTCAGGGAGATCTGTCAGAAGGCTTTTGCACATTTTCAGGCAAATGGTCTCGGGCTAGAATGGTAGGAATAGAGCTGTTAAAGAAAAAAGGAAGGAAAGTATGGTATCGTATCGCTTGATCTGCTTTTATGCAGCCAGTATTTAAATCAACCAAAAGGTTAAGGAAAGCAGCTCAGAGTACTTGTCACATCTCTTACCCTCAGGACAATGGCAGCCACATCAGGTGCAGACACTTAGTCACAATTATTCATAATCCTAGAACTGATTTGCTTCCACCTTACATCACCCTAGAATGACTACAAAAGTCAGGTCCATTTTTGAAGAAAACACTTGTTCACAGAAAAGGATAGGAAGTGTATCCATGTAAGTGTTCACTGGCAAGGATTTTCAAGAATGGTAGTGAGAGAGACAGAAAATTCTAGATGGAGGTAAGTATGATCAGAGAGGTACAGATATGAAAGTCCCCTGAAAAGCTATGAAATAGAACTATGATTCATTGAGTCAGTATAATTTTCACTGGTCAACAAAGGAAGAAAATGTTAAAAAGAGAAAGTGTGAGGATTAGGAAGAAAAGGAGGAAGCAGGGTATGCAACAGTTTTGGAAATTAGGAAAGAAGCCAATGGCTGTGACATGAAGCTACTCTGCTCCAGCCGTAGCACATCCCTTCTTTCCCAGCCTACTACCAGCCCAGTTCATCATGGATGTGACAGAATTACAGCTTGTTCAAAAGATAGAGGATAGCCTGGTAGTGTAGGTTTATAAAAACTGGCTACTCGTGAGGCTGAGATGGATGGATAAGTTCAGGGTCTGCTTCTGCTATAGAGTAGATTATGTCATGAGATCCTGCCTCAAAATAAAAGATGGCAGAAGATGTAGCTTAGTGGGAGAACAACATGGGGTGGTTGGTTTTATTGCATTCTATTTCCCTCTCTCTCTCCCTCACCCCAGCATCGCTGCCCTCCCCCACCATGGTCTCATGTGGTCCAGGCTGGTTTCAAACTCATGATTCCTCTACCTGTGAATTCTTCACCAACCAATTGCTAGGATTATAGGCATATTTCACCTACCCACTCCCACTCTACTTTTGCCTTTGATTCTGATGTTTTTATTTATTTTATTTTGTCTTTTGAGACAAGGTTTCCCTGTAGCCCCAACTGGCCTGGACCTCGCTATGTAGAACTGGCTGGCCTTGAACTCACAGAGATCCACCTGCCTCTGCCTCCCAAGTGCTGGGATTAAAGGCATGCGCCACCACACCCGGCTATTCTGATGTTTTTCTCGTGGCTAAAAGCCTTACAGGAGAAGATGGGGAATGGATGTCTGCATGTTGGACTTATGATACAGTGGAGCCTCTTTTTGTTTCCTGGTTGCTGAACATCTACCTCCAAGACTGGGGAGTTCTGAACCCAAGGGCCGAACCAGAGGTGCAATAGCTACAAAAGACAGTCACTCTGAGCTGGAAGTGGTGGTGGACACCTATATTTCTTGTAGTCCAAAGACTGAGGCAGGAGGATTGCAAGTTTGAGGCCAGCCTGGCTACATAGCAAGACCCTAAGTCAAAGAACGAACAAACACTGGAAGGCAGCCAGGATTCATAGCAACTTCCCATTTGGCGAGTCATTAATTCATATTGTATTTATTCATTTTTTAATATTTTATTTATTATTTTTATGTGTATGAGTGTATTGCCTGCATGTAGGTAAGTGCACGCATGCCATGCAATGCCTGTGGAAGACAGAAGAGGCCATTGGACCCCCTGGAACTGGAGTTACAGACAGTTGTTAGCTGCCATGTGGGTGCTGGGATTCGAACCCGGGTCTTCTGCAAGAACAACCAGTGTTCTTAACTGCTGAGCCATCTCTCCAGCCCTGTATTTATTCATTTACTCATTTATTTCCTCAGTTTTCACTCAAGACCGGGCCTTGGGCTAGGTACTCAGGGATTGAGACAAATCAGGCAGGTTCCCTGCCCTTGAATTCACAGCTATGTGTAGAATCTATCACTTGCTAAAATGATCACAACCCCACTGCTACTGTAAAGCAAAAAGCTCCATGGACTGCACAGAGAGGGTAATTTTTGCTGGAATTGGGTCGTACTTTGTCATGAGGCACTTCTGAAACCACTTGGAACAGGTCTTGAAGGATGAATAGTTAGGTGGTCATCAGGCAGACAAGGGAGCGAAAAGCATAACAACCAAAAAGAAGAATATAGAAAAGCAAGGATGTGTCAAAGCAGGTTCTTTGAGGAACTGTGTATAGTCCAGCTGAAGGACAGAGTGCCAAATGCAACCAGAGTAGCCAATGGGGCCCAGATCATGAAGGACTTTGTCAGTCTAGGAAGCCATTGAAAGGACCTAAACAAGGGAGGAACACGATTAGATTCATGTTATGGTTTATTGTTGTTTAGTTTTTGTTTGTTTGTTTGGCTTGGTTTTGGTTTTTTGAGACAGGGTCTCAGTATGTAGCCCTGCCATGGAACTTACTATGTTGACCAGGCTGTCCTTGATCTCATAGAGAACCTCCTGCCTCTAACTTCTGAGTGCTGGAACTAAAGTGTGCGCCACCATGCCCAGCTGATATATATATATATAGATTGTGTATTTGTGTGTGTGTTTTGCCTGCATGTATGGAACTATACCACATGTGTACATTGCACCACAGAGGCCAGAAGAGAGTGTCTGATCCCCTGGAACTACAATTACTGATGGTTGTTAGCCACCATATGGGTGCTGGGAATCAAACCTGGGTCCTCTGGAAGAACAGAAAGTGTTCATAACATCTGAGCCATATCTCCAGCCCCTTGGTTTGGTTTTTTGAGACAAGGTTGTACTTCATGGTCCAGAATGTCTTGGAACTCACTATATAGTCCAGCTTGACCTTGAACTTATGGCAATCCTCTTGCTTCGGCCTCCCAAATGCTGAACTATGACCTACTCAAGTTTTTATGTTTTCTTGTGTTTGCTGTTTTTTTTGTACTGGGGTTAAACCCAGGTCCTCATGTATGCTTGGCAAGTAGTTTACCAGTGAAATATATCCTCAGCCCACGTATCCATGTTTCAGAATATTACCCTAGCTGTTGAGTGAAGAATGCATTGAGAATGGACAATGTGTTAGGCAAAAACAGACAGGGAGATCAGAGCAGGTTAGGAAACTCGTGGTGTAGACCAGGCTGTCCTTGATCTCATAGAGATCTGCCTGCCTCTACCTCC